CCCCAGCTATTTATTTGTCACCATCCCCACAGGAACAGCCATGTCCAGGCTAAAGGCCACATTCTGGGGACAAAGAACCAGGAGCACTGCCATGCTGTGCTTGGAGGGTTTCTGTTGGCATCCCCGGATGCCGCCTGGAGAAGGGAGACTTCTGGCCCATTCTGAGACACAGAGGCTCAGAATTACCCGCTGCGCTGGTGCCCTCACTCAGGTGAGCACGCCCTCAGGGAGGAGGAAGCGCTCCGCTGCAGTTCCCACACTCGGGCAAACCTTGCCAGCTCAGCCTGAGTCACTGCCAAACCCCAGACAGGCTCTCGTGGCCTCCTGAGAAGCGGAACTTGGCTGCCACCCTCCTGGAGCAGCCTGTCAGAGGCTCAGGAGTCGCAGCGGGCCCGGGTTCCCACGGCCACTCCTGCCAGGCCAGGCCAGGCCAGGCCAGGATGAGGAGAGGGGAGGAGGGGGCAGCCCGTTTCAGCCCCGGGGTCCCAGTTTTGCTCAGCAGTCCCATTTAGGGGCTCGTGGTCCTTGGGCGGAGACGCAGATTTCTCGGGGATGGCAGCTTGCTCTGAAAACAGAAATGAAGTCTCAGGTCCTGACCTGAGTTGTCAGAAGGTTTCTTGCTGGTAGATTTCAGTCAGGTTTCCTAGAACTGGAATTGGGGGACGGGCACTCTGACTTGCGTGCAGCCCCTTTCCTTGCCCACGTTCACAGCCTTGCCTTGCTTTCAGATTCAGGGAACTGGAGTCCTGGCTCCAGGGAACTGTTTTCAGACCTTTGCAGATCTGTCGCTTGGGCCGGTTCTGATCTACAGTTGCTTTAGAGGGAGCAGCTGAGATCCTGCTGGCTTTCCCAGAGCCAGAACACAGAAGGGAGCTCCCACCGCGCCCCACTTCTGGGAGATGGGCTGCTGCTGCTGCACGGGGTCCTCTGTTCCCAGGAGCTGCCTGGGGCTGGTGATGTGGCAATGATAAGATGGGGCCTAGGTGTCTGTCATGGAAACTGCTAAGCTGCTGGGGTTTCCCCGGCTCCTCCCCACCCCCAAGCTTGGGCAAGGGGCATGCGTGACTGCAGGGAAGCTGCTGCGCGCCCGCCTCCTCCAATGCAAGCCGCATGAGCTGCTGCGATTGACAGGCCTTCGCAGGCCACGCCTGCCTAACGGCTTACCTGCGTGCACCTTGGGTTGACGAGGTGTCGCCTTCAGTCAGCCCAGCCTCCTGAGAGATTTTCTCATCGGAATGGCAGAAGCTGTGTCATCCTTACAACATGCGCTGGGAAGCGTTCCCAGGGATCCTGGCCCGGCTCTGGCTGCACCACCTCTCCTGGGTGCAGGCTCCCTCCTGCATTCCAAGTGGGATGGGTTCAGCAAAGAGAGTAAATCAGCCTCTTCCCATGGTCAGAGTCGTTCTCAGGGTTGCCCTTCCCTTCCCTTCCCTTCCCTTCCCTTCCCTTCCCTTCCCTTCCCTTCCCTTCCCTTCCCTTCCCTTCCCTTCCCTTCCCTTCCCTTCCCTTCCCTTCCCTTCCCTTCCCTTCCCTTCCCTTCCCTTCCCTTCCCTTCCCTTCCCTTCCCTTCCCTTCCCTTCCCTTCCCTTCCCTTCCCTTCCCTTCCCTTCCCTTCCCTTCCCTTCCCTTCCCTTCCCTTCCCAGAAAACAATGTTTGGCAACAAGAATTGCCGTGCAGGTGAGTAAAGATTCCTGGGGAGATTGAGGCCTGATGCCACAGAGCAGCTATCCAGGATGGGAGCTGCACCCTCCCTGCCGGGGCTCCAGGAGGCCAGAGGCAGGGGAGCGGCCCCGCGGCAGCGCTGCCCCCAGGCACAAAGCTAGCCTTGCCTTCGGGGTCTTGACCTGGCTCCCCCCGGGGCACAGAAGGGGTTCCTTTCCCAGCGCCTGCTCAGCTTCCCTTCTCGAAGGGAAATAAAGGCTCTGTGTGTGTGTGTGCCCGTGTGCGCGTGCAAAGCTGCGGATCAAGTAGATTACAGAGAGCCATTTTGGTGGCCGGGTCTCTGCCTGGCCTGGCTTTTGAACTCTCCGTGCCTGGAGAGATGGTCGCTCAGGGCTGCCCTCGCTTGGCTAAAGCCACCCAACCGGGATCCCCGCCAGCTCCTGGACTGTCTCCCTTCGTACCACACGGTCCTTGGGCAACGCTGGCTGCTTCCGCTCCCACTGCCTGCCGTGCCCTGGGAGTGGGTGCTCATGACAGCTCCCTTCCCTCGTCTCTTTCTCCGAACAGGTTTGCAACTGCAGCCGGTACCTGAAGGTCTCGAAGGAGAGGATGGCGCAGCTGATGAAGCAGAGTGGCTGCTGGGTGGGGGACGTAGGTATGGAGGGAGGCCCTGAGCCTCGTGTCCGCCCTTCACTTCCGTTGCAACAATTCTAGCCCACATGGAAGCCGGGATAGGCATCTGAGCGGGTTACGGCATCCTCGGTGAAGCCCTGCAGCCAGCGAGGGGGAAGGCCATGTTGGACCTGGTCAGGCCCCTTGTGGGAAGTTGATCTGCTGCCTCCGTTCCTTGACCGTTCGCTTCAGAAACCCAAGTAGAAGGCAGGAGAGAACTTCACCTTTCTGGCTGTCCTGAAAGTGAATTGTAGGATTACTGAGCCGCCCTAATGATGCACCTAAGCGGCTTCTCTGTGGTGGGCTATTGTTGCCCTGTGCCAGTCCCCCGGTGCCTCCAGAGGGAAGCGTGGGAGGCAGCAGCTTTGGGGGCAGGCAGGAAGGTGCGGGGTTCCCTTTTCTCCTTTCCGCCCCAAGAACCCGAGACGGCCAGAGGGGGAAAGCCACCCCATTTACTGAAGCCTTCCTCTGTTCCTTCCCCGTTGCTGCCGCTGTGACTGACCCAGCTGGCTGAACAGGTTTCTCCCAGAAAAGGCTTGAGAACAAGAGAACCTTTGCTTTCTGGCTTCTCTCGCCTCGTTCCCACAACAGAACAAGAAGCACCCTCCTGCTTGTCCTCTGCGGCTTCCGGGAAGAGCGGTGGGCGCAAAGTGGGGTCAGAGCAGAAGGACGGAGGCACCCGCTTGCCCGCTTCTCTCAACTCCACAGCCAGCCTTCTCCCCGCTCCAGCCAGGCCCACGTGCCCACCCGTCTGGCACTGATTTGTAGCAAAATGGCTACCGACCTGTCTTCTGGAGCACCTCTCCGCATTTTCTGGCCTTGCAATCGGATGCGCCAGGGCCTCCCCCAGTCTTCCCCAGATGCACCGGCCAGGCTGGCTCGGGGACTCGGCGGAGCGCGTTTGGCTATGCTACTGCAGGGTTCCCGGTGGGGAAGCCCCCACTGCCTTGTGGGAGGGAGCAAGATGGCCGAGACAGAGCACTGCTCAGGAAGCGGTGCTGCAAGAGCTCCCAAATTCCCACTGGTTTTAGAGGAACCCCATTCGCCCAGAGAATTGATGGATGGAGGGAAAAATGAGCAGTTGCCCCAAGCCGTTGGGAAGCGTTCGTGCTGAACCTGGCTTGGCTGAGCTGCTGCTCTCCCTGGAACCCACCGCAGGCCTGCATTTTCCTGTGCCCGCTTCTTTATTTTTATTTGAACTGCGCTTGCATGCTATTAGAGGACAATTAATTGTGGCATAATTACTCATTTGAATTTTTCACCTGGGGCTCTGCACAGGCTTTTCCCAGGCCGTGGGATCGTTTCCCGCCCCTTTCTGAGACCCAGCGCATCATCTTTCTCTCCTCTGTTTTGGCCAGGATCCTCTCGCAAGCCCCAACAGATCCGCCTATGGCTGCAGTGCCAGCCTTGTGGTCCTGGGGCAAATTGCATCAGTCTTCAAGCCCCCACCCGGGGATGATCCCAGCCTCTCTCTCCTGCCAGCAAGCGCAGACAGTGGCCAGCCAACATGCCTTTTGGGTAGCCTGCCTGCCTGCCTGCCAGAATAGGGGCTGGGGGAGAACTGGCAGATGGAGCCTGGGGAGCAGGGAACAGAGAGCCATGGCTCTCCAGGGCCCCATTTGAACTTGGAAGCAGCACCCACAGGCTCTGCCCCTTCCCCGAAGCAGAAGGGTTACTGCTTTCCCCCCTCAGGACGCCTGCAGACCTCCCTCGTGCCTGCAGGTATCTTCCCTCTTCTTTGCAACAGGATTTTGAGGGGGGGGGATTTTAAAAAGCGCTGCCCTGGTCAGCCAGCCAGAGGCCACCTTTGCAGCAGCAGCAGCAGCAGGCTCTGAATCAGCCAGGTGCTTCGCCCAGAGGATAGTGACCCCCTTGTCTCTTGGAGGATGCCCAGTAACAGACTTGCCCAGCCCTTGTTTTCTCCAACTCCTGAGGGCTTCTTATCGGCACATCGCTCACCAGGACCTTTGGACTCTAAGAACGCTCCCAGGGTGTGTTTTTAAAACTTGGGCAACTTTTATGGCCCACCACCCCTCCCTCCCTCCCTCTCCCCAGGCAAAGGCACACCTGCCCTCAGCATCCTGCGGGGACCCAGCTCTCACTGTAAAAGGATGCGGCCTTTCTATAACTGGCAGCTGGAAAGATGGCTGGCTCGGCCAGAAGGACTAGCCCTTTGCCTTCTTGTTGATGGAAGCTGAGACGTTTGGGTATGGGACTAAATGCCCCCCTCCCCCTTTGAGGTACAAGCTCCGACCATTTCTGAAATCACGAACGGCTTTTTACATCCATGACATGTGAAGGGGGGCAAATTACTCCTATCTGGAGGGGGCAGTGTTGTTGTGACTTTACACAGGAAGGAGAAAACAGACCATTTGGCCTTTCTTACCAGTGACACTTCAAAGGGTCACCAATACAAAAGCACTTCAAAGTAACCTCAAAGTAGCCGTTTGTCAATGAGGAGCTTGTAAAGCCCTGTCCATCCCGTGCCCCCCACCCCTCCGAGGAGATCTTTTCAAAGCCCTCCTCCCTTGGAAAAGGCCACCCCGGGGCCAGTGCACAGAATGCCAGCAAGGGCCCCCTTGCCAAAAGGTCACCTCCTTGCTGTCTCCCGAGAGACAAAGGGGGTTTTCTTTGGGAAGGGAGGGAGTTGGAGAAGCAGAACGGGGGGGGGGGGAGGAGCCCCC